TAGATAGATAGATAGATAGATAGATAGATAGATAGATAGATAGATAGATAGATAGATAGATAGATAGATAGATAGATAGATAGATATCCATATTTAAGTGCTGGATCACCAAAGCAGGGTATGTTGAGGAAAAAGTAATCATGCACGGCTGAAAAAGGGATTAACTTTTTCCCTCTTGCATCTCATACCACTAGATTAGTGCTACATTTAACCTCTGATTTCAATCGGGATTAGATGCTTAGTGTAGTTACCAGCCTTTCGTCAGTTTAAGTGTTGATTCACAGAAACTTTGCAATCATGACCAGATATCAGATGATTAATTTGTAGGACAAAGCAGGTGTTTGTCTCAGATTTGTCGCAGTTTGACAGCTAAGTTACTTTTCACCAGCGTCAGCTTCCTGAGTTTAATGTTCTGGTTTTCAAATGTCATTATAGCTTCAGGCATTATTCAATACTCAATAGTACCCATTCAATGTCATCCCCATGTCCATACTTACATACAAATACTGTCCATCCCTTCCCCCGCTTCCTTCCCCCAAGTCTGGTCCTGAAGGCAGCAACTAGCCGTGGACTGATTACCCTGTTCATTTAGTTGGTTCCTTGGGGGCCTCCATCTCATTGGCAAGTTCCAATAAGATCAAGGCCCCAGTGTGTTTGTGTGAGTGTGTATGTGTCTATGTATTTAATTAAGAATAAAGGCCATTACTGAATTTCCTGGATCCAAACATGCCGTGTAACGTACATACATTCATTCACTGAAGATTTGTCCTCAAAAATGCACTGTGAGCGAAACGAAATCAGCACCAACCAATGATGAGCTCGTCTATCTAAAAAAGAAAAGGAAGGAATGGATGACCTGGGTTTATTCAATCCTCACGAATTCTTACTGAAGGAGTTGAAGCTGTATCATGAATGCAGTGGTCTGATTGGTCAAGTTTGTTTATTCGGGTCTGAATATCTAAAAATCTAGCTTGGATAGCAAATGCAGGCAGTGAAATTATGTGAGCCTGAAAAAAAAGAAAATGTTTGTACAGAACTGGCCAGAAACCTGATACAGATTTAATAGTAGAAATACATCTCACATTCAACAAGCGACACAAGAGCTAGCACAAATAATAATGCAATGATTATAGAATATTATGATAGATAGATAGATAGATAGATAGATAGATAGATAGATAGATAGATAGATAGATAGATAGATAGATAGATAGATAGATAGATAGATAGATAGATAGA